AATCTAGTGATTTTAAGTTGAACCTGCTGAACGTGACCATCTTGTGACACATCTTGTATTGACCAATCAACAAAAGGCATTTAATTTTTTGAAAAACCGTTTAAAGATGCTGTAGATTTCATGGTTTCTCGTCCTACTGATACTCTTGTCTGTTTTTAATTGTACTGACCTTTGTTAGCATTCTAGAAGTGGGCAAATAATTAGAAGGAGATAACATTGAGAAAGAGAAGAAAAAGATTTCTTCGTTTTATTACATTTTGTTGAAAAAGTAAGTGCACTCAAAAAAATTGTGTCATTTTTGTGACTGGCATGAATTTACTTCAAAACTAATATGAAATATGTGATGTTTTAATATGTTTTTTTATTTTTGAAAATTTTTTTTTTTATTAAATTGTCGCTCATAAAATTATTAAAGTTTAAAATCTCAAGAAAATTAATGATACATATATGCATATGACATATATGTATACATATGTATCTATTTGTATTTTCCAAATTGTAATATACTCTTTTTATGTATGTAAAATAAATATATATAAAAGAAGATATATTTGCTTTAATATTCAAATTATAGAATCAGAAATTTCAATTGTTTTTAAAATGGACCAAGAAAACGATAAGACTCATCATGAATCAACTACACATACATTGAAAGCAATTAGCAGTTTGAAGTCCTTACATATTTCCAAAACATTTGCAACAGACATTGTTCAATCGAAAATTGCGGAAAGTACTATTAGTGATAAGGAAAATAACTATAAAGGTTGCTCAACAAATATCGTAAACAAAAATGAATGTAAAGAGATTACAAAGAAGTTTACAGAATTGATGCCACCACCTAAATTACCAGTAGCATGTAAATCAGTAGACTCTATTCAGCAATTGTCTAATAGTGAAAATAATGTGAAAGTAAGAGATAACAAAAGTGAAATGGTCCAAAAAGATTCAGATACAGAAACGAGTAATTCAAATAAGGAAAGTGAAAGTAAAAAAAAATGGGTATTGACGGATTTTGATATTGGCCGACCACTAGGTAAAGGAAAATTTGGTAATGTATACTTGGCCAGAGAAAAAAGATCAAAATTTATAATAGCCATGAAGGTACTTTATAGATCACAAATAGAAGACGCACAAATCTTACATCAAGTACGAAGAGAAATAGAAATTCAAACTCATTTGAGGTATCAATTTCTGTATTCTGTTTAGTTGTACATAATAAAAACTGTATATGATATAAAATATCTTAAGTTGAATAAGTCCACATAATTAATTTAATTTTTTTTTTAATTCTATTTATGAGGATATTGAAATAAATTAAGTGAGAGAGAGAGAGAGAGAATCAAATCTTCATTTCATTTCCAAAAATAAAATATATATTTTATATAGAATTTTTGTAAATAAATGAAAAAAAAAAATATTAAACTCTGATATTGAGCCTTATTACATGTAGATGAATATAATAAGGCCCAAATCAAAAATAACAAAGAAAATAAACATTATCTTTTTAAATCACTTTTAAAATGATTATTAATCACAGAAAAGAAATTCGTTAGGATTTACTCTACTCTCGAACGTTACAATTATCTTTAATTTTGTTTATAATTAACTCTTTAGTCTTTGAAAATTTCTAGCAATTTGAATGCAATTTTGGCTTTTTAAAAAATAGTAACATTGAAAATCATTATTCTCTGGCGTAAGCTCCACACATAACAAACAAATAATTATAGCTACAATAATCACATAAATAGGCCTTATTTAATAAGTACATGTTTTAAAAAAATACTTATACTCATTTTAAAAAATTGATTTATTTGTTATTTTTCATAGCTAGAAAGTTGAATAATATTATAATGAATTATAATAAATTATGAAACATTGATAAATTTTATAACAAATTGTTATCAAAATGTATCATAATATCATACACACAAATTTTTGTTGTGTTAAACAAACATATTGCTATCGATTCCAATTCTTTTTTATCTACTTCCTACACACACATTTTTTTAAGCATATACTTCGAATGTAAAGCGAGTTTTTAATAAATTTAAAAATAAGCGAGTTTTAATAAATTTAAAAGTGGACTTTATTTAGTGCTGGGCCTTATTCGACTCAGGTACTTTATTTTACAAAATCAAAGAATTATATTTAACATAAATGTTTTTTTATAGACATCCAAATATTTTAAGAATGTATGGATATTTCTACGACCCCAAGCGAATTTATTTAATATTGGAATATGCACCAAAGGGGGAACTTTATAAAGAACTGCATAACCAACCTAATAAACGTTTTGATGAAGTAAGGTAATAAAAGAGAAATTATGTTTTGTAGATATAATTGAAATTAATTATATAGTATAAGAGCCAATATACTTTTTATACAAACAATATTTGTGATACTTTTTCTCATTTAATTAAAATAAACACTCTTGTATCAGGTTGTACTCAATATATGTTATTAACAATTTCAAACAAATTATTAATTACAAAGCGTTAAAAATTGAAATATATGTCGATTACAAATAAAATGCATAGATAAAATTGGTAATGCTGAGTTAAAAAGTTAAAAAGTTAATTAATTTTAACTTCATTTAATTACATTTTAAACTTTTAACTTTTTTTAACTTTATATAGTTATATTTTATCGATAACTGTTAACTTTTAATTTGATTTTTTAAAAGTTAACATTAGGATTGAGTAGTTGGAATTATGTGGATCCTCAGATTATATGCTTATACATTCGTGTCTCGTCAGAAACATATTTTTCTAATTTTAAATAATTTCAAATATTTTATTTAAACAAAAAAAGAGATTTGAAAACGAAACTGTCATTGTGATCTAAAATCACGATTTTCTCAAAAAATACACAAAAGTACAATTTACTGCTTTACAGGAATTATTTTTTGATATCCCAGAATAATTAACAAAAACTGATCAAAATACATATATAAAATACATATGTCTCTCCTTGTTAGTAAAAAAGTTAACTTAGTTTTTTAATTTAATTAAAAAAAACTTGAAATCATGAAATAAAACAAATTTAACTTCGAACTTTTCAATTACTTTTTTTTCATTTCTCTTTTTTTCATACTTGATTTTTAATTCAATTAATGTTAAACGGATTAATTTTTATCTTAACTAAGTTAAATTTTTAAGGCTGTTAACTTTTATTTAATTTAGTTAAAAAAAAAGTTAACTTACCTAACTCTGGTAGCATAACATTCATCACACTCGAAATCTTTTCTCGTTATGTTGATAAAGCTGGTTTTCATATTTTTTATTAGATATTGTGGCTTAGTCTCAAAACTTTTGTTTTTCAATAATTGTACATATTCTTAAGCATATTATAATTTCTTTTGTAGAACAGCCACTTATGTAGCCCAATTAGCAGATGCGTTAAAATATTGTCACAGCAAGAGCGTTATTCATCGTGATATTAAACCTGAGAATTTACTTCTTGGAATTAATGGAGAATTAAAAATAGCTGACTTCGGATGGTCAGTGCACGCTCCTTCATCTCGAAGGGATACTCTATGTGGAACTTTAGATTATTTACCACCTGAAATGGTTTCCGGAAAAACACATAATCATACAGTCGACTTTTGGAGTGTTGGAGTATTATGTTACGAGTGTTTAGTAGGAAAACCTCCTTTCTATGCAACAACCAACGATGAAACCTATGTAAACATAAGAAGATTGCGGTATAATTTTCCGAATTTCATTAGTGAAGATGCAAAAGATTTAATTTCGAAGGTATGGTTCTTAGTGCAATACGTTTTCATTCTAAAATTAATTTTTAAACATATTTTAGTTGATAGTTATTGAACCTGAAAAGAGATTGGATATGGATGGCGTTCTTGCGCATACTTGGACTGTGAACAATCGAAAAGTGGATACAGCACAAGATTTTTTAAATCATAAATAATGTAATTATAAAGACCTTGAATGTATGTTGCAATTGTGCATATATGTTTATAATATAAACGAATTTATTGTAATTTCAAACTCAATAATATCACCAGAGAAATGATAATGCATATTACTATTGATGTTTATGTACTTATTATATATGTGTGTTATATATATGTGTATTATATATATGTGAGAGAGATTATATATAAATGCTTTATACATAGATGGTTTAGGGTCATGTACTAATAAATAAGTTTTAAATCTTAGTCTTTCTTAAATAAGTAGCGATTTATTTACAAGATGTATCGCGTAATGTTGCGTAAAATTGTTTTTTTATATTTTTGTGCTACTGATAGAAAAATCACACCTGCTTTGGAGTTGATAATTGAAGCATTTGAACATTGGCCTGAATTTTTGAGATACATATCTGTCATACTCATACTGAGTCAATTGCGAACGGCTTATTAAAAGTTCGCTTATTCTGTTAATGAGAATATTCTGCACTCTGGTGGCTTGCTATTGCCTTTCAAGAGATGGCATAAAATCTTATGTTGACCAGATTTGAACTTCAACTTTTCAACACAATCATATTAAAAATATTTTAAATAAAATAATGAGCAAATTCAAGATTAATTCTATTTTAAAACACATTTATTTGTATATATAATTAATCTACACATACTATTAAAAAAGAGAATCATAAATGTTAATTGTTGTAAAACAAACTTTTATAAATTGATAGAAAGCTTATCTTTTTTAATATGCTGTATTAAAACATTTATATCTATAGAGAAAAATAATGTGGAATATTATAACTGACTATATTATTAAATCTTGAAACACAATAATAAATCAGTTAATTATTAATATATTAGGTATGGGAAAAAGTTCGTGGCATTTTTCCCGTTAGTTAGTAACGGGAAAAACGCCACGAACTTTTTCTCACACCTAATAAATGTTAAAACTGTACTTTTATGAAACATAAATGCACAGAAACTAAATCATTAAAGAAACGCCTTTCATCTTCTGTGTAAAAAGTTTAACTTTTGGTACTGGAAGAATTTTTTAGCGATTCTTATAGGCTTTTTTAATAATTGTACTTTTAAGTTTCCATTGGCTCCATAACCACATCAACAATTGGTGCATCCATTGGTGTAACTTCTACTGGCGTATCCATGGGTGTAACTTCAGGGTTTTTCCTTATCGAATATAATTTGCTTAACTTTTCATAATGCTTAATATCCTGCAGAATTTGTTACCTTTATTATACTGTCCAATATAAATTTTCAAATAAATGAATACTTGCCTTCTCACGAACGGATGGCTGCATTTTATCAAATGCTTGAAAAATATGTCGCATCGAAATTTCTGGTTGTCCATAACCAGCTATTATTTCTTTCAATGCTTCCATACCAGCTTCTCTTATCAAAGCTGCTAAATCTGCACCAGTGTAACCATCACACCTATTATCATATGCCACTTGATTTAAATTAACATCTGAAGCAAGTTTTGGTCTCGTTGCATTCTACAAAAGTTAATAATACTAATGTGTATTAAGTTATCAGAAGAAAATAGAATTTTTTCAAAATAAATTAAATCAATTCTCTTTTTTCTCCCTGTACTGTGTTGTGTTTTGTGTGTGAATGTACGTGCGTAAATACCTTTGTTACTGCACGTAAAATATCCACTCTATCTGAAGCATTCGGAAGACCAACGTATAAAATTTTATCCAGTCTTCCTGGCCTCAAAACAGCTGTATCTATAATATCGGGTCGATTACTAGCTGCCATAAGAAATACCCCTTGCCGACCCTCCACACCATCCATTTCCGTAAGCATTTGATTAACAACACGTGCTGTTGCGGAATTATCGCCTTCTGTTCTTTTAGGACACAACGCATCTATCTCGTCGAAAAATATGACGCATGGCATTGAATTTCTTGCTCTCAAGAAACATTGACGAACTGCTTTTTCACTTTCACCAACATACTAAAAATGTACAAAATCTTTAGATTTCTATAATTTCATGTATAATATGTTGAAACTTGCCATATTTAAAAGTTCTGGTCCTTTAACAGAAATAAAGTTAATTCCAGCTTCGTTGGCGACAGCTTTGGCTAGTAATGTTTTTCCACATCCTGGTGGACCACATAATAATATTCCACTTGCAGCTGTTAAACCTAATGTATTAAAGTGTTCAGAGTGTTTAACAGGAGCCTGTAATAAATAAATATATATACATGAGTCGCAAATGTAGTAAAATATAGTAAAATAATTAGCCTAAAAACAGAAATTATGAATGACTCCGCTATGAAAGCGATTGACTTGTTAATAGATTCCTAGTTAGATCCCGATCCTAACTCACGTATACTTTGATTTTATAGAAAATTTATTTATTTAAGACTAACAAATAGCACAATAACTATTCTTTCTAAAAAGTTAACGTAATAGAAAGTATTACAAAGATAAAAACATATTTATACTCACGAGAATAGCCATTTGCAATTCTTGTCGTATGTTTCGCAATGAGCCGACATCATCCCACGTTACATCGGGAACCGTCGCAAATCCTTCTCTTTTCGCTGATGGTTGAACAATGCGTAGAGCTGTCTCAAAATCACTATGCTCAATGCACAAGGTTGATAAGCATTCTTGGGAAAGTGGAGGTTCAGAACGTAACCAGGTCAATAAAGTTGACAAGTCTGCTGAATGTTCCTGAATTACATCCATTTCAGCAATTTCTGGAATTGAACTTTTGGGTAGCTTTTGTGGAAATGTAAGATTGTTCTCAATTGTAGTAGAAATTGTAATAGTAGGAGATCTTGCTGGAACACTAGTATCAATTAGATTTTCGGAAATTTCAACTTCTTTATGCGGTTGTTTCTCGGCTTCAGTTACTTCAGGTAATCTTTCCTCCTGTTTTGATCTATTTAAATTCTCAAATATTCTAAAAAAAAATTGTATATGTACATGCATATATATAACGCAAGATATGTATAAAAACTTTAAGCAAAATGACTTACCTATCTACAGCAACCATGGCAGCTTCCCTAATTAAAGCAACTAAATCTGCACCTACAAAACCTGGAGTAAGGGAAGCTATTGTTGATAAACTAACATTAGGAGCTAATACAACTTTTTCAGTGTGCACTGCTAAGATTTTAGCCCGTGCTTCTCTATCTGGTATTCCAAGGCACACTTCACGATCAAAACGTCCCGCTCTTCTTAAAGCAGGATCTAACGAATCGGGTCGATTTGTTGCACCAATTATCAGTACTCTGTCTCCATTTTCGTTAAGATTCAATTCTAACAAGAAAACAAAAAGAAAATATATAACTGGTCTGGATTGTAAAAAAGAATGTAAAATGAAATAATAATGGAAACATTAATATCTTACCATCTAAACTTGACAATAATTGTGCAACGATTCTTCTTTCCATTTCTCTTTGAGCTGTAGCTCTATGTGGAGTGACAGCATCTATCTCATCCAAAAAAATGATACATGGTGCAAGAATTAAAGCTTGTTCAAACAATTCCCTGATACGAGCTTCGCTCTCACCAGATACTCCAGTCACAAGTTCAGGCCCTGCTACTTTTATTAGAGGTATATTTAATTCCTACATAAGAGATGCGAATATTAGACAGAATAAATGAATCTATATGTAACTTTTATATACATTTCACAATTGTATATAGAACAAAACAAGTGTATTTTTTGTTCTACTTATTATAATGTCCTGTGAATATATAAGTAACATTTCTATTATATTTTCTCAACTTAAATATTATCTTACTCCTGCAACTGCATGTGCTAATAATGTTTTTCCACATCCAGGTGGTCCATGAAGCAAAAATCCTCTTGGTGGAGATATACCAAGCTGTTTGAAGATTTCAGGATGTTTCATATGAGCCAGTAATTTACAGACAGTTTTCAAAACTTTGTCATTGCCTCCTACATCAGCAAATGTAATTTTTGATTCCGTAATAGGTACAATTCTCGCTTTTTTGACTGAAAATTTTCCATTGCCACTTTCCTTTTCTCTTTGTCGTTTTCTTGTAGATTCCAATGATTGTTTTACGACTTGGTTCACAAGCTGAAATGACAGAAACAGATAACAAATATATTTTTCAATCTGAATCTTGTTTAAATTTAACATAAAATCATAATCATGAATTGCATGGAAATGCATACTATGTTTGATTTCACAGATATTTCCGGCTTTGTAATAGACTTTTCTGGCTTTGCTGTTTCTTGCTTTAGGGTAGATAGCGTTTCTGATTCAGCAGTTTCCAGTCTTGTAGTTTCTGAGTTTGCTACAACTACCATACCCGAAGATTCTTCAGTTGTCGTACACCCAGGTTCAGGAGTTTTTAGATCTTTTTCAGTCTTGGAGTCGACTTTAGATGCATCATCATCGCTACTAATGTCTATCAATTCTTTATCACTCGAATTTCCATTCTGTCTATGTGGTTTCTTATACATGTGTAATAACATATCACTTATCGAAGCACGCTGTGAATCTGACTAAAATGACGTGACTTGATTAAAAAAATATTGTATCAAGGATAAAATAAGCAAGAGAATATAAGGTATAGAATAAGATTAATAAGTCCAAGGTACCTCGACATCGACATCCTCAAAATCGTCATCGTCATACACCGAGCATTCACGCGTCGAAGACTTGTTTGAAAAAATTTTGGTAAGCTCGTCATAAGCCTGACGTACCATACTACGAAACGGACCGCGTTTCTTACCACGATAATCTCTGTATCGCTTTTGCAATGCATCTGCCATATCATTTACATCGATATATACTTTATTTTCATTATCGTGCATGTACTGCGGAACATATAAATGTAACATGAAAAAAAGTGAAATTCGCTGAACGATCGTGTCAAATATTGTGCTCGTGCATGCGATATTAACTTTAATTCTTGCGCACACTGCTTGTACGCGCATCGTGGATCCCGCAGATCCCGCAGACTAAATATACATCAAAGAGAAAAACAATCGAAAGGAACAGACTGACCTAAACTGACCGATGTGTAAACGTTTTTTACATTACCATTTGCACGCGACCGATCAACAATTGATCCCGGAACAGTCTTTGATCCATCCTTTGCTTATTGTCCACATGTCTCGATCTGTAATCTCCACTCGATCCTTGCAACGGAATAATATCGATCGATGAGTTTAGCTTGCCCATTTTATGCATATTTACAGATAAAGATGCTCAGGTGAGAATACGACCGAGCGAACCGTGAGAGGAAAAATACCTCACGGCTCGACACTCGACCGTCGGGCGTCGCGTCGACGTAGTTTGGCGTCGTGAATTGACTCAATTCTTTCAACACGCACGTCAACACACATGAAAACTCGCGTCGATCTGCATCAATCTCCTTGATCAATATATGTACATACATATGCAAATATACACCTATAATAATAATACCTTGATAGAGTGGCCTCGACAAGCTGAGTCGATACGGCCAGAATCGAAAATGGCCGCGAAAATGGAGACGGCAAGACTCGAAAGTAGCATAGAGTAATCGATCGAGTTAAGAGAGGAGCATAAGCTCCATACACAATGTACACTTGTATGTAAGAAATGGTAAGAAATGATACAAGGGGTGGAATCATGATGAAAAATGGAAGGGATAACATGATGTGTCGTTGTGTGCAATAGAACAGTAGCTAGTTTCCGAGGATGTAAACCGGATCAGAATGTAAGAACAATCAACTACAATCGAACGACAGGAGAATGCTCAATTGTAATTGGTTGATATATGGGTTGATATATGGTGTTTTTTTCCAAATCTCTGCCCTCTCCGTCTATGGACTGTTTAGTGCATGGAGTTCCGCGCAATAAAAGGAACAGGGAACAGAGAATAAGAATTTCAACCTATCAGAAATCATGTAGTGTTGAATACACAGTTTCTCTGTTCTCTGATCAAGTTTCCATCCGGATTAAATCCTTGGTGGAAACTAGGCCTCTGTTTCCTGTTCCTTTTATTATGCAGAGCCCCTAAGGGATCAACAGTTACCATCCCTGTTTGTCTTAATTCCACGAACCGTCACCTTGAGGCACTGTTAAGCTGCATCATTTACGGCACATTCGGTACCATACATATGCACTGACGCGGTGCGAATGCAGAATTACAGTGAATTGATGACTTGGGAGCTTATTACGGTTCTTTAGACAAAGTGAAAATTACAAAAATAAGCAAACTCACTAAGTGTTAATCAATGAAGTTATAAACATTCTAATAAATTTGATCACTTTCGTAATTTTCACCTCGTTTCAAGAACCATAATAAGCTCCCTGTTGTGGTTAAGATTAAGAATTTGAATTAAGTTTGAAACTAATAATATATTACTAATGATAATGGTAAATATAAATATTTTTATTATCAAAAGTATTTGTTTTTTATCATATATAATTATATACTTCTTTGTTCGAATATTTATTTACAATGTCCACATAATTTTTAACTTTTAGCCTTTCTTTTTTTATTACACATAACATATCTTCTATTTCATCATCGCTACTTGTTTTTAATAATTCATTTATAATAAATAATTTTAGTCTTTCTTTATCTATTATTTTATAATTTTTTGCTGCCTAACTAATTTTGTTTGTTCGAACACCAAACTGTGCTGACAAAAATGTCATAGCTTCTGCATACTGGAAACGCTTGCCGCGATAAAATGTGATGCGGTAGCCAATAAACTTACAGCTCCTAATGTGTTCATTGGTTGCCACGTCTCATTTTGCCGCGCGGCAAGCGTTTCCGCATTCAGTTCGCAGGAGCAGTGTAACATTTCTCGAACTCATTCGATTCATTCGGTTGGTCCGAAACAAATTCAGCACTACACTGAGTCAGTTTTCGTTTGCCGAATATGGCAACTTGATACAGTACACACAACCGAAAAAGTTCGCATTCAGTGTACATTAGTGCACAGTCTACCGAATGTGAATACAGAGTCCGACGATCTCGTAGTCCTCTTTTTTAGCTGTGTTCGATAATGCAAATCTGAAGTGTCGCAGTGATTTTATATTATAGCATATGGCATATGCACTGTAGAAAAAGAGCATTCCGACGTTTCAGATTTGCATTGCCGAACGCAACTTATATTAAAGAAGTCAAAACTCCCCTAAAAAAATGGCGGAATCACACAAGTCTTTCACAATTTTTGAGAAGTTAATGCATTATATTATCTGTCTTCTATCAATTGGAACTATATGGCATTATGTATCCTATAAATACAAAGAATTATTATTATAATACTTTTATACTCATAAATATTTATACTATTATTCTATTTTCTATATTTATAACATATTAATTTTTTGTTAGAACGTGAATACATTTTGTGCGCATTTTTCTTACCGTATAATTCTGTGCCGGACTTAGGGCCACTTTCACCAAGCTCTGATTAACTTAACAGGCTTAGTAACTTTGTAGGATTCCAACTTCTGATATCGGAGAAAAAATGCAAAGAGGGAAATTATAAATATAGATTTGTAATATTAATTTACAGCAAGGTTTCTCTCTGGTAGCTGTTTGTTAATAACCTATTTTTGTGTTCAATGCAGTATGTAAAATTACAGTTAATTATAATTAGTGAAATATGTTTAACTCTTCAGTTCACATTTTTTTCTACAACATCAGTCTCAGTTGGAATCCTGCAAAATTACTAGACCCATTAAGTTAAGAGCTTATGAAAGTAGTCCTTATTCTCTCTCATTTTTATTGTACTAGTGCAAATATGCGACAGAAACGCGCAAATGTACCCACCATTTTTAAGGGTTCTCGATTCTATATTCTAGGAATACTAGCGCCACTTATAGCGGTTTTCACTGGAGAACTAATACGCACTAAGATCTGAATGCGCACTCGTCGCGAGCAATGTATTTCACTGAGCGTTTCAGTGCGCACGAAAACAGTACGCACTGTTTCAGTGAGAATCCTAGTGCCGAATTTTTATACATTAGTGCACTGAATTCGGCATTAGCTCCGAGAGACGGCAGTCTCTCTTAGATCAGTGCAATATAATTGCGCGGGATGCACAATTAGCATTTGAACAATTAGATTTACTATCTTCATCATCTGGCAGTGATGAAAAGGAATTATTTCTAAAAGAAAATCTATGGAAAGTTCTGAAGATCAAAAATTATAATGAATGATAATTTAAATTCCCTGATATAAAAAAAATTATAATAAATTCGGCAAATACAGAATTAGCGCTGTAATCTCGATGAAAATAAAATGTAAAGTCAATAAAGCGTTCATTAGAATATAAAGGAAGTGTAAGGAAGGAGAAACAGAAACATAAATGAAATTCGTAAGAAGCGAATTGGAACATGGAACGTAAAGGAAGTGTCAACTAAATGTTAAAGAAACATAAATAAAAGTATAGATAAGCACGGCAAGCACGAGCAGAATGTTTTTTAAATTGTAAATGGAACATGTTTAGGCAATCTAGAGAATGTAAACCTCGACTACATTTCATTCGTCAAGTTCTTAGACGAATGAAATGTAGTCGAGGTTTTTGGTAAGCAAATGATATTTTAAAATATTTCATTTATTCGATAAATATCTAAAAACAAAGTGCTATGCTTTCTTCTTGGAGCCCTAGGAGCTTCATAAAATTATTTCATTAGAACACAACTGAAAAATCTTTTAATGCTACGTCTTTTATCCTAATTTGTACGGTATTTTAAATTCGAGAAATTAGTTCTCGCTTAATCCCTCTGGTGGCGGTACCGCATACTATTCAACTATACTTCGTTTACGTTCGCTGTAGAACTCAATGACGCTTCATTTACTAGTACTTCGTCTACGCTTCCTAAATGTTTGACAAAAAGTACACGGAGCATTCAAATACGCTTCGTGTATGCTTCCATAATATAGAGAAAAAAAATTATTTTAAAACGGAGTGTCACGCAAACGAAGCGTTGTTGAGTAGTACGCGGCATCGCCAACAAAGGAACTTAGCGAGAATTAACTTCTTAAATTTAAAAAAACCGTACAAACTAAGATAAAAGACGTAACATTGAAAGATTTTTCAGAGTGGCGGGGGGAGGGGAGTATCCGCGGCACGGAAGGATCCGCAGATAAGAGAGAGAGCGACGTCATAGGGGGGAAGGGGAAGTAGATGACATCACAGTGGGTGATATCGCGGGGATGGCGGTGCGGGAGACGAGGATGTCCCGGGTACAGGAAATTACGTGCCCGGAAATTACGTAGCGGGAAATTATGGAGCGGAGATGTGCGGAAACTTACTTATCCGTATCGCGATGAAGACGTGGCGTGGGGTCAATGGCCGCCGGACGCGATCCGCCGGGCGTCTCCATCTATACATATCATACATACCATCTCTCGAGCTTACCATCTTCTTCTTACATAATCTTCTCTTCAGCGTTTATTACATGCGATTATTCATGCCGAAATATTTTTATTCTACTGAATTATAATTATTATAATTATTATTATTATTTTAGAGAACGCGATGATATTTTAGAGAACGCGGTCGCGCAATGGTATCGCGTGTGACGCGCGCATAATACGATGCCACAAAGATAGAAAGAAATGGTAGAAAGAATAAATAATTTTGAACACAAAATTAATCCAAATTAATCCATATTTATTTATTTTTACATATGATCATTTTATTAATTTTAAATTCTAAGTCTAAATTCTAATTCTTACTGCATTACAAAAGTGATATCGTAATTCGAATCTTCATCCCTTCGTTTTTTCCCTAATCTTCTATTAAATTTTTTAAAATCCTCCTCAGTTTTTTTTTACCGATGTTGTCAGAGCATCTATCACGTTCAATTGAACAATGATGTCAACGGTGCCATATCTGAAATAAAAGAATAAAAATATGAAAATGCAAATAAATAAAAAGAGGCAATAGACTAATGGGAATTGGCGCTGTAGTGATTGCGCTATTATTGACGAGAATATTAAAATATCGTCCTGAAACTTTTCGTATCACTTAAAATGCCAAGAATAGTATATAAATATAGACAGATAGACACCTAATGGAATAAATGTTACCGATTATTAGTTTGGATATGGATGTGGATTTAAAGCTTACACCATTTTTCTGACCTGTCCATGATATTTAAGTGGTTACTTCATTAGAGATAATTTGTTAGAGATAATTTGATAAAGTGTTTCTAATAAACTTATCTGTCGAACCTCCGATTTATGTTCCTGTAATATAGTTACAAAAAATATAATGGAACTCATATGTTCCTGTAATATAGTTACAAAAAATATAATGGAACATTATACATAAATGGAAAAAAATTATGAATGGAAAAAATGGAATATTATGAATGGAAAAACAACAGCGAAAATGAAATACACATTAGAAAACAAATTCAATCGATGGTTATTTTGGTACCGATCATCATACATCTTTTTATGTAGCAATTTTGCCACTTAATTCTCTATTTGCATTATGTCATATTTTAATATTATATCAAATTCTTTTCAATAATGTTCAATATAAAATTACCAAATTTAATACATATAAATAAAAAAAAATCCTTGATGATACATGAGAAATTAAATATGACGAAATTCAAAAATTACAAGATGGCGAGTAAATTTCTGAAAAAACATAATTTTCCTAACGGATAATACAAGCATTTAAAATAATATTTAATAAATATGATAATATGAATATATTTACAAATTGTTTTGTATCATGTTGGTTTCACTTTCAATTCTGATTTTCGCACTGCAAGAACTGTTTCAGCGTCATTAGAGGCAATGGAGGTAACAGATCTTGTGCTACAACCTCACTTCGTTCTGCATTCTCCTCTTTTAGTAGAACTTCAATAGCGTACATTTGTCTGGACAATCTTTTCAGTTCCTTATGGATATAATCTCTCTGCCTATAAAGATATGAAGAAATTGCAACATAAAAATTAAATTAACATTAATATTTTAATAAAATCAAATCTGTCTGTTATCACAATAATCATTACCAGCATTGACTATTTGCCAAAATTTTATTGTTTTTTATTATTTATTATTATAGGAACAGGAGAATGAGTTTGTGATGTGCATTTACTTAAAATAATTTTTATGTATTTTTATATATTTTTATTTAAAAATACAATATAAAATATAAATATAACATAAAAATATAATATTAAGAAAGAGACATTAAAGAGACGAATTATTAACAAATCAGTAATGTTCCTCTGTAAGAAATTATTTGCTTACCACAGCAATTATTATGATTTCTCATTGAGGATTCATTTTCTATTTCATCGAACCGTGGTGAATCAGGTAAGTCTGAAAATCAAATATCTTATTAATATGTATGTTACATTAGAAAAATTCAACTCAATTGAGTTGTTAATCAGAATTCTTGCACATTAAGACGATCATATTTGGGATAAATGAAGATAATAGAACGATGTCATTCGAAACAAATTTAAACGTCGTAATCTTGGATGGTCAAACAAATTATTATAAGAATAAAAAAAAAATCAAGTTTATATTATATATGCATCTATGCGATCGTAATTCTCTCAATATATTTCTCTCAATATATTGTTAAGAAATTGTTATTAACTGTTATTTTAAATCGACTTATGTTTCATATTGATGATGATCAGATAATGGTCGAAATATCTGTAAAATCTGACAAAATATTAAGATGAACTTGGGCTACTCTGATTTTCGATCTATCTATCCACAACTTTAGAAATTGCTTATTTATACCAAGACAGGAATTATGCATATAATCTATAGGAAAATGACTTATCACTGGAACTGAAATCAATTCAAATGGCGAAGGTATACTTGAAGATGATGTTCCGGTTGCCTGTTAATAAAATCAATATCGGTCCGAAGTGAAGCAATGGGATCCAAAAAAGTCATTCGCCTGTTTATTTTTTCACCCCTAACAGTGCATTTTCCACAGGCAAAGTGTCCATTATGTGATTTTGTGCAAGTAACATATGCTCGAACATTACATATAACAGCATGGATATTGATTTGCTGTTTGTTGATTGAGAATCCATTGTTTTTTAAATTTAGATATTCATCCATAAATGGTAAATCGTCACGCCCGTGTCTTGAAAAAACTTGTAATAATGAAATAAAAGTTAATATATTTTGATTAATTTGAAATTCATTTGCCCAATTGCACAGTTCACCTGTCAAAGGCAAATGTACATTTTCTTGCGGGTTGATTTGAAATTCGTCACTGCTCTGATGATGTATTACTGACATTGTCATTGTAACTAATATCACTTTCTAATAAATATGAATATTGCGAATTATTTGATAAAGCTGAATATTGCGAATGATTGATCTCTATCATGTCATCTTCAATCTCAGGTTCTTCAAATCGAAGGCTGATGAACATGATAGACCGTCGATTGGGTTATCAACATTTGAAAGTAAAACCGGCTGAGAGGCTACTTCACGATCTGCATTATAATAAAGTAAAGTTCGCCGATTTCGTTAACGTTTCGACAACTCAGAAAATTGTTGGGCATTTTCAGGTTTTCTAGTTATTTAATCATAAATAATTAACCTACACAATCCGGCTCTGATTATATAAGCGTTATTCCAATTTTAAAATGTCTTTAATTAATAATTAAATATATAAATAATATTTTATACAAAAATACATTACCATAGTTGCACTGATGTTCCCAAATCTTTAATAATAAATCTTATAATATTAATTCTATTCTTTAATTATTATCAGACTCCCAGCCATTATTTCTGCAATCGCCATTTATTAGCTGTTGTATGCTGCGTCATGCGCAATCACGTGCGGGTGTACTGCAATAACATCTTATGAATATTTTGTGCAGACTTTTTGATAAGTCAATTGACTTAAAATCGACTTAAGTCGACTATTTTAAAAAATAGATTATATATTATTCTTATAGGCAGTAATCCGATTCATGCCCACAACGTTCAGCAATTCGTCTAGCATTCGTCGACTATAATATAGTTACAACAAGGATGAAATGATTCCAATTTCGTAAATCGCATTAAATATCTTAAAGTTGACATTGGAAGGACATCTGTACAAAGTCAACTTACAGTCGATTCTAAAGGCCTGACTTAACAAAGTCAACTTACAATTGATATATCAACGTTTGTGCTGTTAGGAAATACCATGAGTCTCAAAATTACATGTAATGTTGTAATTATCCACAGAAATTTTTTATAGCATTAAAAATTTTTAGGCATACAATTACAACATTTTATGCATAATTACAACATTTTGTGCATAATAAAAGTATTATTATGAGTATTAGCGAATGAGAGACACCGAGATATCTCACTCATACTAGTAACAAATGTGTGAGACAGCGAAAGGACATCGCGAGCCGACATCACGTTCAATTACGCTTTCTTTCTCAATCGTGCGTCTTGCACTAAGGACAGAATATCGGAGCGCCTCCCCACTTTCTCCCTTCGCGCTCCATGCCTCTTCTGCATTTCCAGTAACATGTGTACGCTTCGGTATGAGTGTAACGCCACGCGCCGAACGCCAAAGGATTCCTGCCGTTACGTGTACATGCATCATGCTTGTACATATATATATATATATATATATATATATAAAATGTGTGTTTTGTGTGTGTTTTGTGTGTGTGTGTTTTGTGTGTGTGTGTTTTGTGTGTGTGTGTTTTGTGTGTGTGTTTGTGTGTGTGTGTTTTGTGTGTGTGTTTGTGTGTGTGTGTTTTGTGTGTGTGTTTTGTGTGTGTGTTTGTGTTTTGTGTGTGTGTTTGTGTGTGTGTGTTTTGTGTGTGTGTTTTGTGTGTGTGTTTTGTGTGTGTGTGTTTTGTGTGTGTTTTGTGTGTGTGTGTTTTGTGTGTGTGTGTGTGTGTGTGTGGGGTGTGTGTGTGTGTGTGTGGGGTGTGTGTGTGTGTGGTGTGTATACAGCGCCGTTCACGATAAATGGCTGAACTTATAGGCATGGAAAAGTGACGTTTTAACGACGAAATTTATGCATGCCATTTCGTTATTATTTGCTTACTATAATTGTTAAAATGTGACTTATCTCGTACTTATTAAAGTCGTAATTATCGACGAAAATTAAAGTTATCTTGGAATTTTGTATGTAAAAGCATATTTTTTATTCGTTTCAACAGCTGCCAGACCGTGTGTTTCTGCGCGAATATAGGCTCACTTTACTGACTATCAAGGAAAGAAAGGACAATTTTCATCGATTTTTACAAATGTTTTAAAGTGATCTCGTCAATTAGATTTATCCAAATTGTCTTTATTTACAAATGATACGTAATATAAATTAACGTGTCATTTGTTTCGATTCTAACGTCATGATTCCAACATGGCCGCCGCAACTACTCAGAAGCCTTAAGCATTCAAATTCTTTGTATTACCAATGAATTTGTGTTTTTAAAGCAGCGAATTTGTTTGTGAAGAGAATTTTTATTTTTGAATTTGCAGTGAATTTGTATAATTAAAGCAGAATGTATACAGTGTTACAGCAAGTTAGAAACAGATATCTTATCTCTAAAGTTTCTAACGCTTAATAACTCGATTCACGATTTGATTGCCGATCGTCGCGATTTTTTTGTCAGCGTTTCTTTCATTTTGAGTGAAAACATGTCGAATGAGTATATTTTTATTAAAATTTTAGATGAGGATCGGGGGGGGGGGCTATTCTAAATAATTACCCTAACCTCATTAATCGTCAACTTTAACGTTTAATATCTCGATTCGCGGGGCAAAGCGACGCATCTGTCAAATGCTTTCATTTTATGCAAAAACGCATCGAATAAGTAATAATTAATTTTATTGATTTTTGAGGTGATTATATAAACTGTATATAATTATTGTTTTTTTTTAACACAATAGCAATAATAAAATGCATTTAAAATATAAATGCAATATATCTTTAATGTATAGCCATTCATGCATATTAAAAAAAAAAACATAATTTTCAGATTACTGAATAACTAAATATTTTGGATAGACACTATCTTTTTTTGTAATTTAAAATACCAATTTTAAGATATTGAACTATATTCTTCCTTTAAACATTTTTGTTTCAGAGTTTTACATTTTTATATGAAACAGTGCATTTTTTTCATTTTGTTACTATATTTAATTATAACAATTTATCTACAATTTGTTTATGAATATATAACTATGAGTATATAAAGCACAAATACTTTCTGAAGATGTCAAAATATATGTAAAAATCATTTAATTTATGTATAATTGTAAAAGTGATGAAAATTAATCCCCAGGACACAAATGACCGAACGTGTGTATTAAGGGTGCCAAAAACTAAGGTGTATACTAAGGATTATCTTTCATGTTTAAATCAATCTCATATAATTTAAATAATCGTTTATTCTAAATTATATAATTTTTCATTACATTACGACGCTAAATCATACATAGAAAAGGAAAATATCAAGGATTTTTACAAGAGATTTTCACTATGATATAATATATATATATATATATGATATTAATTCTGTGCGAGTGAATGAGTGAGTGTGTCGCGTGCGCAACATCCATTGTGTCACAAAATTCAATTTCTATTACTATTAATATATATAATTGTTACAATTGATCGCTAATAAATGGAGCTGTTTTCTAAACAAATCAAATTAATTATTATGTACAATCTAGTGTTACAATAAATTGATTTTCTAATCTATTTTTTAAAGATGCGCATGTATCTTGACAAGATACATTTCTATTAAGACTTTACTTTCTATTATTTTTTCTATTATTACAACAATGCCACAAATGTTAACATGTATCGCTTTATCATGTAGAAAAACATGTGCGTTATTTCCAATGTTTGCTTTCACAAGATTAGGATTGAAGTAGGCACAATTATTTTCAGGCCAAATCTATAAATGCTAAATGTGTCCAGATGCAATTACTAAAAATTAAAGATGGTAAAAGCTAAATTATTCGAGTGCCAATTATATCTTGCGACACAATGATCAAATGCGGTTCACGAATATAAATTACATATGACAATGCCAATCCACATGCCAATGACTGTCTTGCAAAAATACAAGTCAAATTATATTGCAAGTCACGTCAAAATGACGTATGCACTATACCGGTTGCTCGTTTTCCGGTAAGTCTAAAATCTCTTCAACGAATTCGGCCACATTTGTATCTTTTTGGGCATATTCTCTGATAAAGTCAAGTTCTAGTAATTGACTATAATTTGGGCGGGCAGTGTAGTTCTTCATTAGACTGAAAATAGTAACGATTATGTAAAAAAATCAATTAGATCAGAAGTATAAAAATCTTAACGCACACGTTGCCACTTACCACTTATTAATAAATTCTTCGAATGAAGAAGAGAACTTGCCTACAGGTAATTTTGGGGCTTCATCCTTGACTACCTGTTTCAGTTGCTCGAACGGCGTACCCCACGACTCGTATGGGAATTTACCAGTTGCTAATTCAACGAGGGAAATTCCTAATGACCAAACATCGGATCTGATATCATATTGTGATGGGTTACCTGACGGATCTATCCTTTCTGGCTACAAAAAAAAGATAATGATAAAGAATATATTGAATGGAAAACTGAGTGATGAATTTTCAATGGCAAAATTTTGTAATTACATACAGCCATATATGGTTTGCATCCGGCATCGATAGTCTTAGCAACTGAATCTACAAGATAACCCGATATACCAAAGTCACAAATTTTTACCTCGCCTTTCCGATTAATTAAGATATTACTAGGTTTTACATCTCTATGAATCACTCGTAATTGTGAATAGAGGTAATGTAGTGCGCTCACTATCTGCAAAATTGATAATGCAGATGATTCTTAAGTTAAAAAGAGTTTAAATCAATTAAAAACTAAATTTCATGTAAAATCAAAAGAAAGAAGAAGGGTCGAGAACAAGAGAAAAGAAATGTTTGTGCAATTATTTAACATTGACAAAACATTATTGAGGGTTTAAAGAGTTTGATGTGTAAATGCGCGTTTGTATATGTACATATATATACCGCAAAAGCCACTTTTCCTAAAATATCTTCAGGAATGGCACGACCATGTTTATATACTTTTGTATAAAATTTATCAAGGCTCATATCCATCACTTCCATACATATCCATACATCTCCTTCTCGAAATAAGGCTCCATAGAATTGTACTGTGTAGAGACATGCTGAGCTACGCATAGAAATATCTAAATCCATGAGCAGCCGCTTTTGCTCTTGTGTATTAACTGTAGCAGCTATCCTCTATAAATATCAGTTATATATATATATATGTGTGTGTGTGTGTGTGTGTGTGTGTGTGTGTATGCGTGCATGCGTGCGTGTATGCGTACGTGTGCATATATGTATGTGTGCCTGCATGCATATGCATATATGTATGTGTGTATGCGTATGTGTATGTGTGTGTAATTTTTTTAAGTTGTTTATTGCACATACTATAATGTAAGAAAACTGTTCATTTTGACAATACCTTAACAGCCATAATTGTGCCACTCTGTTTGTGTCGCATTTTATCAACAATTCCATATGCTCCACGACCAAGTATACAAAGTGTTTCTAAATCATCAGCTTCTACAACAAATGTTTTTTCATCTATGGTAATGGTAGTCCGTTTGTCTAAATTTCTTGGTGGAGTTCTAAAATAAAGCATCCATAAAATATATCTGAAGATAAATTCTTACACCACTTATATACATTGTGTAAGCATTCTTCTAATGTAATCAAAATAATATGATGGATGTTTTCCATTTATACAAGTTCTATCTTTAATAAACACCATTCTATCTTTCTTGATTCAATGATTAATAAAAGGATGCTTCCCATTTAATGATAAAAATCTATCTTTATTACTCACTGAATACCAACAAAGAGTGAATAATACGTTACAAACTTACTTGTGTTACAAAAAAGTTAACACTCAAATATAGAATGACACTTGATCAAATGGAAAATATTCACAGGTAAAAATTTATACTATTTTTTTTTAATCTTGCTTATACACATTTTTCTTGTAATTTTTATACATAAATAATAACAAACGCAAAAGATTACATATATGATAATATTAATCACAGCATTCGACAAACATTGCGTTGATGTTTTACATACACTGGTGCAGGCGCTTCGTCGGAGACTTGCAATTTCAGATTGCGTTTTCCACGACGTAAAGCCATGATACAGAGTATAATCGAAAAAGGTTAAGGTCGCCACCCGCGCAAATTCGACAGTATTACAGAGAAGTCAATGAAAATTCATGGCTAGTAGTATCACGGGACGCAGTGCGTATGTGAACTGGAAAAGCAAGAGGAATCACTGAATCATATGATATATAAGATAGAAACGGGACGAATGTCTGTTTAGATTTAGGTTATTCCGCAAAAGAGAAATAAGTTGTATTGTTGGCACGTATGTGCGTCGCTATTGTCGCCAATTACCGCGAAATAATAATCATACTTGACTTATCGTTTGCATAGCGCAACATATTAGCGTTACTATCTATTAATGTTACTATCTGAAAAACATGCTATTTTAAAAAAATTAAAAAATGTACGCGTAAAAAACTTATCCAAATCTCTATACCTCATCGCACCCTGTTGCCTATATTTTAAGTCTTTATAAAACTTAAATCTATGATAGAAGGAATAAGCACGGATCCTCATATGGGCAACAGCGCTCTGACACTGAACGCTAATTGGTGAAAAATGGGCGATGGATAAATTTTATCCTCACAACCGGCTTTTCACCAATCAACGCTCTGTGTCATAGTGCTATGCTATGTCTATGAGAATTGAAGATCTGGACTCACAATTAGGGCTGTTTTCCAGCTAGGATACAGAAACATTGTATTCCACTGTGTGTAAAGTACTTGTTGGAACGCAATTTAGTTTCATAGTGTAACAGAATTTGCATTGCAATCTTCCATTCTATTCTTATAATCATATTTAGCGTATCAATAAGAGATTTATGATTTTTATTTAGACTTAAGTTATAATTTTTTCAGAATTGACGATTTTTGAAGATTTTATTGCAAAATAAGTATGGCTACCAAATAACTTTTTAAAAAGTTAGCATTGATATTTTACACCCTCGTACTTAGCTTTTTATTGTGTTGAGCAGTGTAACACTGTGTCATAGTTGGAACACTTTGTGTAAGACACAGTGTTACACTGTGTCACCTGTGCATGTGTTAGAAAACATCCAGGTTGTTCGCACGCTCTAATATGCCCAACACGCTCCAATACGTTCGCATCACCGGAACCAATATGCGACTAGATGCATCGCGTTAGAACATATTCCATGGATCAATTAAGAGCCTCACCTCAGAAGGTGGTACAATTGAGATATGCACGCATGCC